TGATGACGTATCAAGAGTACACGAGCACACGAGAACGCTCAAGAACGCATATTGAGAAGCGGCCTAGGTGTCGAAGGCTGCACTCAGGTCGAGGAGGATGAGGATGGTGAGTAGTCCAGAATCAGATGCCATAAGGAGGTCATTGGTGATTTTGATGAGTGCTGTTTCAGTGCTGCGGAGTGGCCGGAAACCAGACTGCATGGCAAAGGTCTACTTTGTCGATTGAAAAACCAGACCTTTTTACACATTCTAATGTTATTAAAAAAGGTTGTAAAAGTTAAAACTATGCAGCAGATCTTGGTATTAACAAACTATTAGTAATTCAAAAATGTAATGTTCTAAAATCGTAAACTGAGTTGAAAAACAAGCCCCGCCTCCCAAAAACAATACTTTTGAAACTCACATCACAGAACACTTTACCAACAGCATGGCAAGCCATAAAGCAGTGTCAAACAAGTTTACATGTTATGAGTTGAAGCTAGTAGCACCCCAGGCTAGCTTTTTATAGTGGTCATATACGCAATGAGCTCAGCACTTCAGCACTAGTCTTCCATCCAATCCAAAGTCTTGAGTGGTCCCAACTTGTATTTTGAACATGTTACAAAGACTTTATAAAAACAGAAGGTTAATATTAGAACAGAACAATAATTTAACAGTTGAATAAATAACTTTTTGGTTGGTAAGATATCCTCAACAGAATTATAAACTATGATGTGTTTTTTTTCTGTCAAAGTAAGCTTACTGACAGTGGAAAGATAGGAACAAATCACCATTATCCATTCTTAAATCCAGTATTGTAGTTACTGATTTGAGGCCACTCCCCCTTTTATTACACACCAGTCTGATCCTGAGGATCACGTCCAATTGATCCAATTAAGCATAATTTTCCTAATATACACCAGCACTTGAAATCCATATTGATTTATTAATCGCTTTTCAATTTTAAGCTTCCCCTGCCATTGCTTTGGTGTTCATTGGTAGATTTGAGCAGCCATTAGGACCACAAAGCTTTCAGCAATTTCAGCCCTTCTATTTTCTTTATTGCTTGGAATAAACTTAGTTTTTGTCTTGAGTTTTTGTGTATGGGGTCTCAATCTTGTAAAAGAGTCAGCTGAGTGACTCAACTTGTTATGTAATACAGTCTTCTGAAATAGCATTTTGTGCTTACCTTGTCTTGCTTGGAACCTCAGCCAAGATGGTACTAAAAATGGGGCTTGTACCATTATCCACCTTGAATGCACTACTGCAGTAATTCGTCTGAGGCCAGTCTGATTCCCCTTGGCTGCCAGTTTGACTAACAGTTCCTAATGGTAAAACCACAATTACAATGTAGACCTGAATTAAGTTTATTAAGCAGTTTATTTAGAAAAGCGGCAGTTGATAATTGGCTTGGTTTTTTGTAATTCGATCAATCATAGGTCAATGAACAGGGTAAACGCGCAACACACACTGAAGGAGATCATGTTTGCATGGGGAGAACCTGCAAATTCAGTCCTGAAAAGACACAAGGCCAATGCCCAAGCCCTGGACCATCTTTTTTCAAAGCAACAGTCCTACTAAACCAGTGTGTAGCCACTGTTAAAGGCCAGAAGCGTCTTAAGAACTTTCTTCTGCATTTGTTCAATGCTACAAGAGGAGGAGGACTTTTAAACCCCAGTTGTTACAATGGGCACTTTGTATACATACATATACATCCAGGTAACCTAATTATTCCTTTGAGTATTCATTAGCAAAACATTTAGCAACTTTTGCCAATGAAGCCCGGTTTCAAAAATTGAGCTTTATAACGAGGTTATAATGTAACTTAAATGGGGCTGTCCTTTAGGACAGTTGGTAAAGTGTTCTGTGATGTGAGTTTCAAAAGTATTTTTTTGGGAGGGGGGCTTGTTTCTCCACTCAGTTTAGGATTTTAGAATATTCGATTTTTGAATTACTAATAATTTGTCAATTCCAAGATCTGGGGCATAGTTTTAACTTTTATAACCTTTTTTAATAACATTAGAATGTGTGAAAAGGTCTGGTTTATCAATCGATAAACTAGACCTTTAGGACCCAAGTCCTAACAATTCAAGTTTTCTAATTGTGCAAACTGCTACATTTAAAGGCACAGTGTAGGATTTTTGCAACTATTTGAAAAGACCCACCGTCTCCACTTAACAAAAAAAGTACATGCACAATCCTGTACCTGCTCCCGAGAGGGAACCCCTATTTAAGGACCGCCTATTAAACGTGTGTGAGAGCATGCATGAGCCCATTTGTCCTCGTGCACTCTGTTTAAAAGTGCCTGACAGAAACATATCACCAGAGTGATGACAAAAAGGGGGACCACTTATTTTTTTTATGCACCTGAAGAAAAGAACATCCTCCACTATACCTTTAAGCTTAAATGCATTGAGTTTTTGGTACTGAAAAGGCAGTTCACTAGTCTCCTCTACTTTGTTACAGGATCTTTTTCTTTTTTCTCTGGTTGAACATTTTACATTGCAAAGGCTTAGTCTTCCTTGATTGGGAAAAAATATTCTGCACAAGTATTTGATAATCATCAGGTCCAAGGCAAGACGATAATTGGTGGGAATTTAGAGCCATTTGGTTGCAGAACTTAAAGCATATCTACAAGTTCTGATTGCTATGAGTCAGGCTATAAGTTGGTATTCCTTCAGTAACCTTTCTTTTTATGTGATTCTGTGTTTTTTCACCTGCCCATTGCACTGTGGGGGATTTCTGACAGACCGAGAAACGTGCGCCATTTTATGGCAAGTCCTGTCAACAAAATGGTGGTGTGCAAGTTAACCCTTTAAATGCCATAAGGACAGACAAGTCAGTTTTTGTGTCCAGAGACTGAAGTTACAGGAGCAAATAGAGACAGGGTGATTAGGAAAGGAGCAAGGGAGAGCACTGGACACCCAGAGGACCACATTGAGCCAAGGAGTCACTGTCGGCACTCTGCAGTCCTTGTATGCCCTCTATAAGGAAGGTACCATTGTGCAGCTTTCAAAGGGGATGCCTGAGACAGGCTCTCCCCAACCACCCAGGAGCAGAGAGAACCACACAACACTGTGGTGGGTGGAATTCAATGTCCTCTTTTTCCTTCGTCTGACAAATACCCCTAAAGTGGGTCACTTGGATAAAACAGAAACAGACTCTGTATTTACATGGATACAGACATATGAATGTCCAGACCTCAGGTCTTAATTTCTTAGTAAATAGACTACTGGAGAAAGTTTGAATGTAATCAACCGACTTGCTTCTTATCACTAGACCATTATCTTATTCCTCTTGGAGAACGCATGAAAATACTTTTGCTTAAATGGTCTCCCTTGATAAAAAAAATAATAATAATCAAAAGGTCAGTTTGAAAAGCAGTTTGTTTTTTATTCTTAAGATCTAGAGTTGATCACTCAGTTATCTTGTCATTGTGGGCTGAAAATGGTGTGCAAATATGTACAAACTAAAGCCAAATGAGTTCTGTAAAAAAAAAAAAAAGAGGCTTTTTGATTTTTTTTTTTTTCTCCCATATTTTCCCTAATGCATTCTTTGCACATCCCTACTCCACTGGAGGGGTATTCAAGTAGACCGGCACTAGAAAGGGAGCCACCATTTTATGGCAAGACCAGCGCACAAAATGGTTGTGAGCCACTTAACCCTTTAAATGCTGGATTTTCACACACAAAAAGCAGCCAGCTAGTCTTGGTGCCTCCCAGACTGCAGTCACTGAACCCATGTAGACCTGTAAGGAGTTCACTGACAAATGGAATCTGCGTCACTGAGGGCTGCAGAGCACATGTGCCTCTGGAAGGAGGGAACCATGATGCATCGTTCCAGAGGGGAGCTGTGCAACCCCTCCCCCCACCAGCCTGGCACCAGAAGAACCACAGGGCGTCAGGAGTGGACTGTGGGGCATTTATTAATATAATTTTTATTTTCCTTTTGTCTTTTTATGACAAAATGCCTCTAACAAGGTTTCCTGTATAAATAGAACTATGAACACAGACCTCTTAGCTGCAATATAATCCCACTCCTCTAGGTTTAACAGGAACATATGGATTGTTTGGTAGAGGTATGGCATGTGTTCATCCAGCTGTGCTTTATCCAAAAAAGGGGAGGAAATCCTAAAGTATAAGTTTAAATGTACCAGATCCTCTAGAACACTACAACACTTTCAAATATTGGTTGTATTCTTAGTTTTGTTTTTAATGTATATATTTTTTCAGGACCCCAGGAAGAATAGCTGCAGCATAGCTGTAGCTAATGGGGATCCTTTCAATAAAACTAAACTAACCGTGCCTGGTCCTTGTGTAAAATCAGTGTGGTGCAGTTTTTTGTATTCTTTTCATATGTGAGGAGTGTTCTTAAGTCTCTTCACCATTTGCTTTTTTATTTGTTCTTATCAATCCAGTCCTTGACAATGCCTAGATGCCCTGAGTGATTTTCAGAAGAGATCCAGAGAGGTGGTGCCATTTCATGAGTCCTGCACACAAAATGGTTGAGAGCAACTTAACCCTTTAAGTACCGCCTCCAGCACAAGTCGACCGGTGGACTTTGTGTCTCTGGTGCAGTATAGACACAGGGCTGGTTTAAGGGTATACAGCGGAGGGCTTCAGTGATCTGGGGAGTCACAGTCACTCCGAGCTGCACCGCATGTGTGCCTCAGCACGCAAGGAGGAGGGACCCGCGCCACTGCCCAGCCCGCCCGGAACCGGGAGAGCTTTAGGAGGCGGGCGTTCTTGGCGTCCCAGCACCTTGCCATTGGTTGTCTGGGGTCGGTTGTGTAACGTGCGCAAAAGTCCGTGCGCATTGTTCGTAAATACGCAAATGGTGACAGAGAAGGCGGATCTACAGCTAGCCCTGCAGTCGGGCTACTTATTAGCTCATATGTCCCTCGACTAACAGGGGGGGAAAAAAGGGGCACGCTTTGGTGTCTGATGGTGACTAAAAGGTTCGGGATTAATTATATTACAAGGGTAAACGACAGTTTCCTGGCTGATTCAGTAAGAAAGAAGGGAGACTTGAAAGGACGGCTGCTTTTTCTTTTTTCTTTTTTTTTTTTGAAAAGCAACGTTGTAAATGTCTATTTCGAGATCGATTCAAAAAGAAGAGTTAAAGCTGATAAACCCTTAAAGGACACCCAGCTGCCGAGTGAAGAGCACCGTGGATGCGTGATGTGGTAAGAGCTCCTGCTAAACAAGCAGTTAGCTGCTCTGTTACAGCTAGCTAGTAGCATGCTAGGTAGTAAGCTAACTTTGAGCTGGGTAGCTGCTAACATGAATGTAGGATTATCAAACACGTGGCTAGAGTCACAAAACCCTACGTTGCTTGTTTTACTAATCAAGCTTTTGCATACTGCTGGTTCTGTGGTCACTTGTCCAGGCTGGCTATTACCACAGCTTTTGACCATAACAAGCAAGATGTGAGCAACCACAGGGCTGCTACACGGTCACAGAGCCTGGGATCATAGATGAGATTCACTATTTATTTATTTTTGTGAGGCGAGATGCCCTTTTTGTTGCACTAAACTATTATAACGACATAAATTGTTTTAATCAATTGGCATTATGATGTTTGAATACACGTTGAAGATGTCTTATTTAGTTGTGATTTGAGAAAAAGTATACCACAGAAGAGGTATGCCTCACACAACCAAGGCTGTATTGTTTCAAAACATAAACTCAATAAATTTAAAATACAATCCACAAGGACGAAATTTTGTTCTGAAAGCTGTTATTAAATCTTTGACTTTTAAATTTTGTTTAGGTGTTATTCAAGCCATTTCTATGTTTTGTTAGTGTTTTATTTTTCTCTTTATCTCTGTAGGAACAGCAACACTGAGCTGCTGAATGTAAATGCCTTGCCAATCTTACCAGTGCATTAAATCACTGTCAAAAAAATATTATCCAAAGGACTGTTACTACATATACCTAAACAATAAAAATACTATTGTTTCCCATGAAAATACTGCAGGATATTGTAAGCTACATATAGTTATTCTGTGTATATGCATTGGTGAAATCAGAATAATGATGCACATGATTTTTATTGGCTATTGCTTTTACGCTGACTTTTTGGATTGTTAAGTCTTGGAGTATAAATTTTCGGACATTGTAGTTTAATCTGAGACTCTTGAAATGTTTCTCAAAGATGGTATAGATGGCTCCACGTATGCCTTTTCTTTTATGGGGAAGGATGAGTATGTTGTTTACTTGTAGTTTTCTCTGTGGTTTATAAACACACACACACACACACATAGATAGATAGATAGATAGATAGATAGATAGATAGATAGATAGATAGATAGATAGATAGATAGATAGACGCACAAAATCACTTAATAGTTTGATTCTGTGAAAGTTCAAAAATAAAAAAATCCATTTATGGAATGACTATGACCTGGAGAATCGTCCTCAGCTTAATAGTTTGATATAAATGTATTCCACGGTCGGGGTCAACATTTTTTTGACACAAAGTTGTTAATGATCAGCAGATTATTTAATTAATTGTTATTTATTATGTTTCCCTGCTCCAGTCATCTCTTTCTTCTTCCTTTTTGATTATTTTTGCTAACTTAAACCCCTACATACTTAAGCAGACTTTGTGAATATTGTCCAACAGCTTTAATCCTTTATAGTTGAGTGTACCTTTTCCAAGTTTTCCACACTGCCATGGCATCATCGGATGAGCTTACCCATTATTGTTACAAGGGGAAAGAAACGAGTCTAGATGGGCTCCTTGCACGGTTTCTTCTCCAAATATATTTGGTAAAAGCTATGGTTCTTGTCTGCTGACAGGAGCATATGTATTCACCTGTGTGTGAGGTTGCTCATTGTGAGTAGGGATGTCTTGAACAGATGTTGATATCGTTAATTGGTCTGTCAGCCAAAATTGCATAGAATATACCTACTTGCATTTACAAAATCCAATATAAGCAAGCTGGTAGAAACACTCCACCTCTCTTCTGTTTATATAATATGGTTCAGGTGTCATACTTTTTGTTGTTGTCAATTGGTCTCAATGTCAGTAATGTACTTTGATACAGTTTTTTTCTAACACAATGTAAGTGTATATAAAGTATTCTGATATCGTATCAGGATTTTATTGGTATTGATCAATACTCAAAATCACAATATTGGCATCTTGTCCAAAATAAAAAAAGTTCTGTAGGTTCTCCTCTAGTGTGAAACGTGGGGTGGGCACATGTCTGTCTGGTGAAATTACACACATCATTGCATTGCTAATGTGTTTGGAAACTCATATTTTGAGGCCATTACATGGACTTTAAATGCCCAATTCCAGAATTACTTTAACTTTGATCTTAATAGCAGATTATGTTAATTTCACTTTTTAAAAATAAGACAATGAGTTTCTTACACCCACCTTTAAGCGGTGGTAAGGTACTAAAAATGGGCTTGCTGCTACAGAAGATTTCAGATATGACAACATTGAAACCCTGGAATCAAACATCTACTTGCCTAATGAAAAGTTGAGTCAAAAGAAATTGTTCAACCCTAGGCATGCCCGTGTTTCAAAGATCTGCTCATATAGGGGTGTTGGAGGGATATAGCACAATTTTTAGTAATCTGTTTGTGTGTTTTATATAGATGTTGAAATTCCATTTTCCATCTAGCTGAGGTGTTCCCCACTCTGTCTCCTACGGGAGCCGCGTGTTTTAGGTGTTACTGTTGCAGCACACCAGAAAAGACTGGGTGATTAACAAGCTTCTGCAGCCTTTGATTGTAGGGGGGGG